GATTTGTATAAAACATGTCAGCTCCTCTATATACAAAGGAGCTTGTCCTGACTGATCGATTAGCTGATTGACATAATAAACGTGTAGCCGAAACTATTGATGGGTCGATTTGAACAAAACATGTCAGCTCCTCTATATACAAAGGAGCTTGTCCTGACTGATCGATTAGCTGACTGACATAATGAACGCGTAGCCGAAACTATTGATGGGTCGATTTGTATAAAACATGTCAGCTCCTCTATATACAAAGGAGCTTGTCCTGACTGATCGATTAGCTGACTGACATAATGAACGCCTAGCCGAAACTATTGATGGGTCGATTTGTATAAAACATGTCAGCTCCTCTATTCGATACATTTCAGAAAATCCCCCTTGTGGTGAAGTCATTGTGTTCGCTAAAGAGAGATTGCTAAATTCGTACGAATTTATAAAGGGCCTAGTGAAAAGAAATAACGAAATAAGGAAGAGCATACCAACTTTGTTTATACCTTTAATGAGGTCGTCATTGATACAGCTAGAAAACGCTTTCATGCCTGGGTTTTCCACCATTACATGGACGTCAATGAAGATTCCACAATTTTGTCAAGAAATCACCAACGTTTTGGACAATGTTCAAATGTTTGTAAAAGAGGTAATTACCGTTGACAGCAATTTAATACAAACTTCAAAATAGTTATAATCTTAATGAAATGAGTATTTTGGAAAAAAGTAACTTCAAATCCATTCAATTTTGAAAGCTAACAATTACACTCTGACACTCAAACGTTGCACTCATTGATTACACAGGTCTGCGATTTTTTTTTTTTGAAAAGTTTTTTTCTTAAATTGTTAATATTTGTCGTAATTGTCTTAAAAGTAATAGAAAACGATATTCATATGGTTTATAACACGTCACATTAACCCATAAATGCTCAGAGAACACATTTCCATTTGAACCCTTGCCACGTATTGAGTGCGACGAAAAAATATTCAATACACAGTGTTTCTATGTTTTTAACGATGCTCTTTTCACTTTTTTATCGCAGACCTGTGTTATCTGTGGAATATTACTGCCTCAGCATTTGCCTAAGTGATC